ATGAAGATCTACAAATAAATTTCTCAAGGTTGAAAATTGGTAAGCAAAATGTAAATTATGTAGGTGTACTTTGCTATAAAAAAGTGAAAAAAGTGGTCCGATATCGTGACTTAATATTTATTTAAGAGAGGTTCGTAGCCATTTAAGAAGTGGAGCGTATTATAGCATAGATGAATTTTTGTGTTCTCAACTTTTGACTAGAAGGATTTGTATCACAACAAACAATAGCAATGTAGTTGAACATGCTTTGGACGCACAATGCCGTTTTTTGCTATTAAAGAACATTCAAAAACAAAAAGTTGGAGGTGTACCTACTTCGTCTCTCGGATGTTTGTTGGAGGATTTTCTAATCTTGTTTGCTACAGTTTTCCTTATGCCGTCTCGTTTGTTATACAATCTACTATTATGCTCTAGACCGTGTCTGCGAAAAGTAAAAAAAAAATGCTCTTTTAATAAAACAAAAATGAAACGAGTAATGTCGAAGTTTTTGAAGTTTTCGTATTTTTCTTTCAACAGCAAATGAGAAGTTACTATTTCGGAAATTCAAAGAGGGAAATAATAGTTTCGGAAAACCATCAAATTCAAATTTGGAATGAATTGATTACTGATGGTGATATTCTAGTTGTAGAAAGAAATAAAATATGTATCAGCAACTTGCTGGAAAATGTACAGAAATAATTTCGTCAATAAAATACTGGGTAACCGAACAAAGAAATTCACCAGTCAAATGCAAGTAAACTTATTTTTTACTCTCAGGTAATTTATTGATAATTTATTCTTTCAAAATTTCAGGTGAAGTTCGATTCTTAATTGTTTTAATACCTTCTGCTTTTTTTTTTCATTATCACTTAATCTCCAGCATCAGATTCCTAAATTAAATTATTGTCATATAAAATTCTCAACAATTAAAATTTGTTGGAAAAAATGCAGTTCATATAATCTAAGACTCGTGTAGACACCTATTTACATATATATCGGTTTCCAGAAAACAACAACAGCATTATTCTTAGCCGCATTTATTCAACGTCATAAAATATCGAGTATTACTTGAACAGAACCAGATTATATTAAACAAGTTATACGAACAGATGCGGTTAAAATATCTATTACTGTTGTTGTTTCACAGAAACCGATATTTGCGATTAGCCGTTCATGTTCTTCCCGCACTTGGACAGTAGCTCCATGGTGTTACAACAATGTTGCATGGGTTAATAGTCTGATTTTCCGCATATGTGTTAAGTAGCTTTATTCTAGATCGTCCTCGGAGTAATCCAGGTAAGACAATGTTAAGGTCTCTTTGTGGTTGTGCTGTTTCATTGCCCATCCCCTTGTTTTCCTTTTGGTTTAGTCGCCGTATTTTGTATTTTTGTAAATACGGTTATCTCGCATGAACAGCTGATCACGCTGCAGGCGTTTAGGGAATTCCATCGACCGCGACTGGTATCAACTGGATTTTATGGTCAAGAATTTGTCCCATTTCTTTTTGGTGTTTCAGTTCCAGTGTTCCTCTGGAGGAGCGAAAAATTGTTTATTTAAGTAAATTTTGTTGACTTTTGAGAGAATTTCCCGGGCCGGATTTTTCCACGGAACTTGTTACACTGTGAAATCTCAGTTTCTATGAGATTGTCTAATATCTAATTTGTATTCTCTTTTGTTATATTCAAGGGGCCACCCAGATCTAGCGAATTGCTTTTTGCCGTGTCTTGGAAATCTAAGCTTGCCTCACGTAATTCGCCATTGGAGAAGTCATCGTCACTAACTAATATATTCAGCTATGACTAATTTATTATGCGATTGTTGTTTCATGAATCAGATCAAGAATATTTAAATAATATTTACCTAATAAAATTTTTGCACTTCATTATCATTCATTTATATATCTAACATTCTGATAAGAACGTTGAAGATATACCGACTTAAAATATACAATCTTATCTTATAAGTTATTAGTGAGATAAATATTAAATTCAAACGCTGATCTAGCAAGGTATTAGAATTTTGTTAGCTTTTATAACACCCAAGATGACTGGTTAAATTGACATTAATAGTGGAGCTGAAAGAAGTCGGTTTTTAGTCGATCGTGCATGATGCGGGTAATTTGGCATTATATTCATACTATAAGACGTGTTTGTAGGATTACAAGCAGAAATGTATTTTTCCGTTTGATTGGCAGAGGTCAAAGGTAAAGGATAATCCGAAGTTTGCTTGACTGGAGACTGTATTTTTTGGTTATCTCAGTCTTGTTGGAAAATAAATTTTATATATGATCCGTTACTATATTAGACAGAGGCAAAATTATGATTCCATTTAAGGATCTGAATATTTGTCGCTTGTAATTATTATGAAACTTCGTTTTTGTGTCATGTAGTGAAGCATGTAATTTCTCCAAGCTTTTGCTTTTTTAAGCTTGTGAGATCTTGGCTAACTTTTAGATAGAAAATTACTTTTTCATATTTTGATGTCAATATTTTTACACATCTTAAAATTCACATTGAAGTATGTGCTATTTTTACATCTCGACCGTAAGCTAGGGAAGTATAGGTATTATAATAGAGTCCATCCGGTGAATGGCTAATTTCATGATCCCCAGCTTATGAAAAGGTAGGTCTTCCCTTTCAGTCTGTCTATGGTCTGTTGGGGATTTTATTAGAAGGACTATTTCCTTCGCAAAAATTAAGCAAATGAGAGAGCTGCCATATTTTAATTTCATCCAACACGGGCCAAATTTCAACGCCTATTTCCTTTAAAAAAATTTATGCAATCAAAGTATTTATATTTCTGCATGACGATTAGTAAAAATTGTATTTCAGCGATAATTTTGCACTAGTGCTAAATTAACCCCCTCCAAACTGTCGGCCTTCATGCTTAAATTTTCAGCGTGAATCAAACACTCTTTTTTGGATTTTTGGAAATACAAGTTTGCGGTGTTTTGCTTCTAAATTAACCCCCTCCAAATTATCGGTCTTTTTGCAAATATTTTTTAATATCTCTAATTAACACGCTATTAAATTTTCAGTGTGGATGAAACACTTTTTTTTGGATTTTTAGAAATACAACATTGGTGTGTTTTGCTTCTAAATTAACCCCTTCTAAGCTGTTGGCCTTATGGCAAATATTCTTTAAAATGTATAATTAACACGCTATTAAATTTTCCCTTTAGAATATACAACAAGTTGTAAGAGTATGTGATTAGATGATATCAAAACTGATAGGCTTTTCTTAACATCAAATCCTGCGTAGCAACAAATGATTAAAAAATTGTCCGGTGGGACCAAATACTATTGGTACAAGGAACCAAGACTGTGCAAAATAAATTGGAATCGACAGTAAATAAAAAGTAACAAATCATACCAACAGAGTTGTTTCTGAACTAGGTAAAGCTGGAATGCACGAACAACAACTCGTATCAAGATCATAAGACCCTACTAGTTCCTTAAAATAATGTTTTCGGAAAAAATTATAAGCTATCCGCTGATGTCAAATTTTTCTTCAAACTAGCTTATAGAAGACAATTCCATTCGTCGATATCGTAGTAGGGGTTGCGGAGTACGTCAGTGGCGAGCTTTATGTCTGATACCGTTCTTGACCTGCTTGTCGGATTGTTTTCACACGAGTTAAATCTTTCAACTCCTTGACATTTTCCCGTATTGGAACGGCACGCAGTTGTTAAAATGTGCTTGATTCATAGGTACTATGGTCGCTTCGTGGTCCACCGAAAAGTTGCTTCGCCATAGCTTCTTCACTTGTCCACGTTACTCTGTAGGACGCAATATGAAAAAACTTGCAGTCCATCCGGAGTCGTCTCCTCCCAAACTTCATAATTTTGATCAATTTCTTGTTCTGATAAAGTAGAGGTTTTTTTTTCGCGAGACTTTTGCAAATGTTTCCTTTTTACATCTTTGGCGGCTCTGGCGTATGCAAATGTTACATCCTTAAATGGGTCTGAAATAATAAACTCTTTATAATATTTTTGTTCCAACATTTCCAGTGTTGTGGATGTGTTTTGTAGATACTGCCTTTATATTCTTGTCCATCATTTCGCTTCATGTTGAAAGCAAAATAATTTTCAATTAAGGTCAGTTATGAGATCGAAGTTACCTCGTTCAAAGAGTATTTTTTCATCGCAAAATTGTTGAAATTCCTCCAAATTGTTGAAATTGACCTTAAGTAATTTTTAGACCTTTTAGTTTTTACTGGAGTTAATCTGTTCAATATTTGAAATTATTTTTTGACAAATAAAAGTTTTGTTATAAATCACCTTAGATATCAGTTCAGTACAAAAGATTGTTAATGGAATATTTTATCACATATTAGTACATGAATTTCAACTATTTCTTGAAGCCCTAAGTAGAATAGACATTCAAGAAAATAATAAAATTTTGATTTGTGGTGACTTTAACATTCCGGATTTCACCTTGGGTAAAATAAACCAATTCACTCTATCTCTAAATAATTTCCAATCTTTCTTTAATTTAGAGCAGCATAATAATGTGCAAAATAAATATCACCATATTCTAGACTTAGTTTTCTCTAATATCGAGTCTAAGGTAGAGGCTTCTGATTTCAATTTCGTCGATGATGATGTTCACCATCCTTCTCTTTGTATAGTTATAAAATTTGTAACTCCCCTTTATCAATCTTTCCCTATAAATAATCTAGAACAATAGGACTTTAGAAAGGCAAACTTTCCAGTTCTTTATGATATGCTTTACTCTTGCAATTGGGATTTCCTAGATACCGATGGTAGCGTTGATGAAATTTGTTCTCTTTTTTATGCCAAACTCCATGCAATTTTTGATCTTGCTGTTCCTAAATTTAAAATCAAATTGAATACTAACCGTCGACAATATCCTCCCTGGTTTAATCAGGAAATAAAAAATGCTATACGCACTAAATACTCATTGCACAAACTGTATAAAAAATATAAAACTGCTCATTACCATAATTTATTTAAATTCTATCGTTCCAAATGTAAAGCGCTTATTCAAAATGCTTATAGAATGTACATGCGCAAGATTGAAAATAATATTTCTATAGATCCTAAGTCATTTTGGATGTTTCTTCATAACAAAAAAGGTAGCACACGTATTCCTGGCTTAATGCGCTATGATGACAGAGAACTATCATGTCCACAAGCTATATTTAACGCTTTTGCTCGTCATTTTAGCAATGTTTATATAGAGTCCGATTGTTTAGCTCCTTTTTGCGCTACGAATGAAACAGCAGCTCAGCTTTCAGTTGCTATTACTTCACTGCTTGAAAAAGATATTCTTTTGGCCTTAAAAAACTGTAAGAACACATTTACATCCGGTCCTGATGGCATTACTAGCTTTCAACTCAAAGACTGTGCATATATCTTTGTGATTTCCTTGCTTAGAATATTTAGTCTTATTCTCAAAGATTGTCAGGTACCAGAACTTTGGAAAAATCCTGCATTACTCCCATATTCAAGTCTGGGGATAAAGCTGATGTAAAAAACTACAGGTCCATAAGTTTATTATGTAATTTTGTGAAGACATTTGAATCAGTAATGTATAAGCTAATTTATTCATCTGTGAAATCTTTTATAATACCATACCAACATGGTTTCGTTGAGAAGAGGTCGACTGTGACGATTCTGGCTTGCTTTTCCCAACACGTATCTCATTTAATTGATAGTAGAAGTCAAGTGGACGCGATGTATATGGACTTTTCTAAGGCCTTCGACCAGATCGATTACTTTATTCTCCTAGATAAACTGCGCCAATTTGGCTTCTCGAAGTCATTACTTAAACTATTCAAGTCGTACCTTATTGGTAAAGTGCAGTCAGAACGATATCGTAACTTCTATTCAGAAATATATTCACCGATATCTGGAGTTCCTCAGGGATCTAATTTGGGACCACTTTTGTTCTTATTGTTTATTAACGACATTGTTGAACATATATCTACTGCACTACTTCATAATTATTGTTATTTTCCTTGTGACTGGGTGTATTATTACCTGTTGGGAATAAAGTATTATTATTATTATTATTATCACATCAAAATTTTAAAGAAAATCAATTTTGAAACAAACGGTCTGTTTAAAATGTTCTTTCCTGCATATTGCCACAGTTAGCAACAAGACAGTTGTAAAACCGATTTACGCCCAAAAAAGGGGTTTAGGTATATCGCAAAGGAATAGCGAAATACTTGAGGTAGTTAAGTCAACTTAGAGAGTGATGAAGTTTGCGAGAGGCAACTGGATGTCCAACGGGTATAAGTGTGGAACACGCAGGCCTTTTGAGAGTGTGAGATGTATTATGATGTCAGTATTAGAATTATTATATATATAGTTTATAGTTATATGGGTTACTAGTTTTAGTTAATAAATCTTAGAAAAGTACAGAAATGATTTTAATGACAACACACCCATCGTCTGGATACAAATTCCTTTGTTGTTTCTTTGTCACATTTCCATCCGGTGTTGTACTTTGTGTTGGCAACTTGTGAATGCTAATCAAAAAATCCATCTTAAACAGTTCGGGTTTTCATGTACGTTCGACGGCTCATTAGTCATTTTTACCTATTCCCAGCTTGTATAAACGGCTCTGGGATTTTAATCTTTTCCGACAAGAATTTTCTGGGGGGTGAGTGACAGTTGTGATCACTTTTGGTGTTCCATTTTTGGCGTTTCGAATTGGAAGGAAAATTTGCGTGAATCCAGGCCATCTTTGGAAAGTTTTGTAGTCGATCGTTTGATTCTTTCCCGATCCCTCGTTTGGTGAACAATAATGGTATTTTTCGTTCCCTGGGGCACGAATTCCTTCTACCACCGTTAACCACCACGTTGTCGCGTTTTAAACCATCAAAATCCATTTGAGATAGCAATAATTGAAATTCTTCTTGTTCAAATACATAGTAAACCACGTCCAAATTTTAGGGCTTTCTGGTGTACCGAACACGACGCCGATTTGAATTTTTTGTCGACTACAAGCCGATTTTTGACCGTTGCGCGACGTCGATTTGATTTTAGGTATTGGGGCTTCCTATACTGAGGGAAATCGTACCATTTGTAGACCTCGACATTTTTGCCTGCACGCCGGTTGATCGCCCAACTTTGGTTTTTATTCCAGTGTCGCTCTCCTAGCCCCCGTCATCTCTGGAAGCGGCAGCCAAGGTTAGATCCTTCCAAAATTTTTGTATTTGAGCCAAAAATATCAAACAAGCGTAGGGTATGTTTCTTCGTGACCCTTGTGGCTCCATTCAAATCTTGTAGTTTTCAATATCTACTTAAATAGGCTGTTAACCAAGCTTACGTAAGCGCCGCCTTCAGCTGATGTTGAGTTAAGTTAAATCCAATTATTTCAGTTGACATTTAATTTTGTTACACCTAGTTTAGCTTACAGTAAAGTTCGTGGTAATTTTCATTCCTTCTTTTGGAATTGAATTGGAAGTTGATAGTTTCAGACGACATTCTTTTTGTTTACTAACTACCTGGCGCTGAGTAACCAGTATCCCTTTTTCCCCTTTTGACGAAATCGGCTGCTGTGTTTAAGAATTCGCGTTGCCGCAGAAAAAACTGAGCGCCGTACACAGTGGTCGTTTCGGGCAATTCATAACGGTGTAGTACCTATTTTAGGAATATCATGTAGATGGTAAAGCGCTAAACCAAATTTGTGTAATCAGCTCCACTTCCAATTTGGTGACGTCGTCTCAAAATTTTATGTTGTAAATGGTGTACCTGTGGTTTATGAATTCGACTTGAATTTTTTATCAATGATCTGGTATCTTGTAAACGAAGTTTGGCAAATAGTTAATCAAAATTTATGTGTTCATCCTCTCGAAAACTTTACAACGCAGTCTCAAAATTTGTTAGAAAAATCCAATCTAAAATGAAACGCAAAAAAAATGAATGCCTGAAGTAATTTATTTTATTGATCAAATCAAGAACAGTTCACACCATTTTCCCAAAATTTTGGAAGGTATTACTGTTAGTATTAGTATTACACTGTACTTCTTGAAACTGATATTATGTCCTTACTAAAAAGTTGCTGACGTCATCACTTGAAATGTACGCATACCATGTTCGTGTCTGTAGTTTAACATTCCGCCCATATCTTTAATTTAATTAATAGTAGTTATCAATGTTATCATAAAAAAATTTAAACTCACGAAACCGAATTCTATAATTTACACTTACAGATTTTCCACAGTTTGCATTTTTTCCATTCTTTAGACTGAATGAAACTCTTTGTTGTCGTTATTCTTACACTGTTTTGACAGTAAACTATAATATAATACGCACATAACACTTTTTCTTTAATTTCTTGTAGAATATCAATTTGACATATGAAAAATGTTTAAATAAATACACTTTAAGTGGAATGTTGGTTAAAGTTTTGTCATATGTGTGATATTTACATACGTAATTTGAGAAAAGTAACTCACTCCACCTGACGGTCTTGTGGGCTGATATGTTCCGGCGTATTTTGTGTGTAATAGTATACAATATTTTAGCATAAATAACTAAAATAACACTTATTTTAGAGTAATATAATTTATACATCAACATAAAAGTTATCTAGTGATATCTTAAAGTAAATTGGTCCTCAAATCTAAGTAATTTGGTGCCCATTCTTGTCAGCAGAATAAAAGATATTTTCAATGTCGACTTTTGTTGCTAATAATGCTTTCATTTTTGATTGAAATGAATTTCTTTTGGAAGTCCTCCACCTATCCGCTGGACAACTCTGAGAGGTATAGAATTTCTTATTGACGAATATTATGGAATTTAAGATTTAACATGGTTCGAGATATTGTTCATTTATTCTTTTTAACTCGGAAGGGTATGTCGTTTATCGACTGCCACACATCATATTCAATCAAGCAGTTTAAAGCTCTCAACCGGGAACTATTACAGATGAAACTGCAGCAGACCAAGACAATTATTGAACGTAATATGAAATAAGCAAAATTCTCGGACTACGTTCCACATAACAGTAACAGCATTTCAGTGAACACAATATTTATGTCTCTGTTGTGAAGTGCGACTACAACGAAATGAATCAAGAAACGCCAAGTCGAACGTTATGAAGCAATCTCAGCAATCAATGCCAGCTGCAATCTTGATAATGATCTGGTGCGAATTGTTGAAATTTTGGTATCCTCTGGCGATTCGTGCCGACCGTTGACAGTAGTGAAAGCTTTCATAACCCCATGTATGAACATACATCGTACCTAAGTTTCGTAATAATTCCGGTTGCGAATGTAAACAACATGCATGCAGGTCTAAACTAAGCAGATTTGGAGAGCGGAGCCTCGTAAATCTCGCGTCGGCTTTAATATTCATGCGAATAATTTTAAAACAACGTGCATATGTATCAAACGCGACCCTTAAATCGATAATGCAAAACTTAATGACTGAAAATATTAATACATTAGGGCACACATTTCAGAATAAGCGGTCGCAAATGCGTTGGGTGGTCTTGCGGACAGCGAGAATACACCGAGGTTTTAGGGATCGATCCTGGTGGTGCGCGCTGGAGGTGGAGCTTCTACAGCCTCCACTTTCAGTGGTGAAACGGACGCCGAGCGACGCACAGCGTCCCTTGCTACCAAGTCCGCGTGTGCTACAGCTCTCTTGAGCCGACTGTGTGCTGTGTGCTGAGTGTGTCTTTTCAGCCAATCAGAGTGCGGCTTTGAACGCGACTTAAGTCAGTCAGACACTGCACGTCTAAGGCGAGTAGAACTGCTTTTCTAGCTACACACGTACGGAGATCTGCTATAAATTGCGTTATTTACGAAGGATTCATAAAAATTGCCCCGTTGCGACGCCACAAACCGTAAAAGTGACTCAAGTCTTGATTAAAAGCAATCTCAAAAGCGTTCATCATTGATTTCAATTTTATTTCTACCTAAATAAATCCGTTGCTGTTGGCTCTGTCTGTCCGAAGACGGACAAATCAGAGGAATTAAAAGAATTTCGTTTATTGAAAAATCGAATCGTTCGGGATTGACCCTTTTCAAACGATTTGAGATCTTCATGTAATTTTTGGAATTCGTGATGGAGAAAAGAACGGAATTAACTTAATGGAAAAATTACGTTGTAATACAGCTTTTAAGGTGAGATTAAAAATTTTTAAACTAAAATCATTCAGAAAGTTTTAACAAGATCCGTCGCTTAGTCATTACGTGAACCCCTTACATGTAGCTTAAAAGTTCCAAGTACCCGATGCAAATTCTGTTTTCAATAAAAAAAAGAAGTAATGAATATGCTTGTTTATTTTAGGGGGAGTTTTTGCTGAGCCGACGACTACATGTAAAAATTTTAATACGAAAAGTTTGCGAAGCTTTTAAAATTCATCACCGAGTAAGTAGTGTGGAGGCCGTTACGTCCACAAAGTAACAATTATCATCGAATTTAAATAACGAGCTTACGGAAACCGTCCCTCTATTAGCACAAATCTGGAAACCTGAACTGATAAATTGGGCTTTTTAAGGATTATTATCCGAAAATTTTGGGGTGTTCATTTTGACAAATTGAGATTAACCGCATTCTTTCACAATAAATACTTTTTATGGTGTTAAGATTATCCCAAGCTCCACAAAAATTCATCTTAATTTTCCGTTATGGATATTTCGGTGGTAAATTGTGCCATAGCCTATTATCAGAAGATTTTACAGGATACTGAAACTAAGCCTCCAATAATGCGCCGTAAAGTATTAAGGGCCCATTTTTAGAGAAGGACATAACGGAGCTCTATAATATTTTTTGAGGAGCTTAATTGAAAATTTTTTAGGTGCGTATTAGGGTAGTAACAAACGACCTTATGCGCGTGAATCTAAATTTGCAATTTACATCGATATTTCCTGTCACATTGACCCTTATTAAAATAGCGCTACGGTTCACCTTCTTTAAAAATGTCTCAGTCGATCCTTCAAAGTAGATGAATAAAAAAAGTGATCATTCCAAGGAAGTTCCCTTAAATTTCTCGTCCGTCATCTTTGTCGGTCATTTCTGAGTGTGCTCTCGCAGGAGCTTTTGATATGATAAGCTTTGTGATAGAACTGATTTGTGGTGAAAAATTCTGTTTTATCTTGGATTTGTCGAGAAAGTCATGATTCGGCTCTCATCTTTCCTAGAATACGTCGATGAATACGTCGATATGAATGAAATTGTATTTGCAAGTTTTTCCCTTTTCACAGACTGTAATTTTATGGCGACGTAATATTTACGTTTGTTTTTCTAAAGGAAATTTTCAAAACACGGGCTTGCTATATATTGATTTATAACCTTATGCTGACTTGTATAAAAATAGAACGACGAGAAATTATCAGTTTTAAATGTAAAACTTCCTCGACGATGGTTTTCTCTAGTAATCCTTTCACACATGCTTTCTCGGTTAGTCTTGCATATAAAATTTGGGTTTGTAATTTTGATATTCGGCACATTCCCCCTTTTACTCTATATTATTTAACCACCACAAACTTATGTCTTCTGAGTTATTTATGTTCGCTACATCCTCAAAATTTCAGCTTTATGTTGTGTGTGAAGTCGTCCGCAATTTGTCGTTAAGGATTAATGTGCGTACTTTTTTATCGTTATTATACGGATATACGTAATTTTTAAAGATTTTCGCCAACGACAAAAATAATATATCAACGTGGTAAATCACATTCACTGCCTGATGTTCTGCTGCTTTTTTATTTGTTTGCATTTCTACAAAAGGACGATAATAGCTTTCATTTACTTTGAAATTTGAAGTTTACGAATTATAACATTTTTCTGACAATTACAGTAATAAAAATAAATTAATAACTTACTATTTTCTATGTTTCTACAACGAGAAATGTGTTTCTCAACAAGAATAAACACGTCCTTTAGTTGGAATGGTGAGCATCAACAAATAACAACTCGTAACTACACATTTAGATGGTAAATTTGTTCTTTAATGAAAAATCTACAGATATTTTTTAATTATTGCTACTATATCACGGAAAAGTATATATATTTTTTTTAATTTTAAGAATAATGGAAATTATTTTTTCATATATGTGATTAATTATAATATTTGCCTTAATTTAGTATTTGTCAAACATCTTAAAATCTTCGTATTTGTGAATTTTATAGCGAAACGGTAATTTTCCCAGGGATAGATTTCTTTTCAGAGTTCTAATTCTATCATCTAGAAATAAAAACATAACAAAATTACATGTGGTGGCTTGACAACTTTTTACTTCACTGCAAAATGTGCTGTCAATAAGATTATTATTTCCGCACGTCTTGCTGGTAGTTATTAGAGATAAAAAGTAATTAAGTTTTTAATTAATTACTTCGGCAAAAGTCAATATTAAAGTTTCTAAACCTAACAAAAGATTTCAGACACTCTGTAATATTGATTATATTTCGCGTAAGCTGTACTGTAATCACAGACAACAAGCAAGTGTTGGAAATTAGTTATAACGTTTTGACTACTTTCCCGAGAGCACGATCTTATAAGATAAATAAAGGGTTAGAAATCTGCAATTCTTGCGGTTCTATAGATTCGGGGTTGAAAAATTCAGATTTTGGAATAAATTTGAAACCATGCTTCTTAGTTTTGTCCGGATCATACCGGTGGATAGTTGGTTAATACATTTTTCGCTTTTGTTGCACACACATTTTTTCTTACAACTGGTGTGGTGATAGGCATAATATTTTTATTTCTGGTAATGTTTTAATAGATTATTGATTTTCAAGGAACTGGTACTTATAGGGCGTTCAATTAAAAAAATTTTCACGTTGGTCCTGATTTTTCGTAAACATTGTGAAGTATGTTTACAATAAACTTAAAATTTCAGTTAGCTGACAGGCGAAATGACACAACATAACCCTATTTTTTCTTTTATCAAAAGAAGCAACGCCAACTTATGGCTTTTTCAATTGAACACATATCTAATGACATACAGGCTAATTGAAGAGAAAACAAAAATACTTAGTTGATGTTTGTTGACGATTATTTGACCTTATTAAATCTTGAAAACAAACTGATGTTATCTTTGTAGAGCATGTTACCACATGGTCTCACTTTTATTAACCGCTGAAAATGATGTCTCTCCATAACGAACTTAAGCAATTTGGGACCACTGCGTTCATTTATATTATTAATCTTAGGAAGTTCTGTTATTTATGATTAATAGTTAACTTTGGGCAAAATCGATTTTTCTAGTTGATAACTCATCAGTCTATAAATTTCCTTAAAAAGGTCAAGTGAGGGAAGGATTATTCTGTTCCATTGAGCAAATAATCCCTGCTAGTTATCCACCTGTTATAACTTTCTGTGTCGTACGTTAGAGTAAGAACAAAATAAACTGAATTCGTAAATCATAAAATTTATAATTTTCCATATTTTTTCTTAATTTAGACAATTTGAAATGGAGGTATGTTTTCGATTTCCAAATGTTTCAAGCCAGCAATACCAGATAAGAGATTAGTGCAGAGGTTCCATGGTGTAACGGTTATCACTCTGGACTCTGAATCCAGCGATCCGAGTTCAAATCTCGGTGGAACCTTTTTTATTAAAAAGTATAGTATTTTATTTATAAATTAATGGTAAAAAATTATTTAAAACTTTTGCTTAATTTTTTTTTCTTGTACTCTAATTTCCTTGAATAAGTTCGGAAAATTCGTGTTTCTGACATCACTGTGAATCGACAAGTGTCGGGAAACGCTGTCTGAACGAGTCTATGAATAACGTTTTCTCTTCAAGCTTTCGGTGTGAACGCTACGTGGATGACTTTTTCTTGACACTTTTGATAAAACTTGTATTTCAAATATCTACAGCACTTCGTGCTTCTGTAGTGTCAATATTTTATGAAGCTGTTACGTACGTTGGCCGTACATTAAATGTCATTTTGAAAAACTGATGCACAAGAATTTACATTTCATAATATTGGAGTAGTTGATGGACACATGTTTAACGATTCAAAATGTTACTCTTTTGTGCCACTTTGGATGGATGAGGGATACATGATTTTTTTAACCACTAGTGTATTTCACTACATATTTAAGTCCTAGACCCTGAAGAAAACCCAACAACTCTCATAGTTAAAAAAAATGAGGCAAGGTACTAGGTAAATGTTGTTCATGTAAACAGAAGAATGCAATGTTTTGGAAGTTACATATGTGAGTACATATTGAATTTAGCTTTGCCCTAAAAAATGTTGTAAGGTATAGTCAACCAATCCTGCTTGTTCGAAAAATCCTAGAATTTAATTTTGCAAAATTTTACTTTTTATGATAACCCCATGGGTCAAAAAAAGGATAATTATGGGTGCGGTGTTAAAATAAAGGTAAAAAACCATGTTATGCGTATGTTTCAAGTGAGTTTTTCCATTATAAAAATTTGTGATGACGTCATAAACATTTTAGCCAGGACACACAGTTTAAAGTCAGTATAATACTAATAATAATTGTACGGTAATCCCAGTTTTCCGGAAAATGAAGTGAGCAGTTCCTGATTTGATCAATAAAATAAACTGCCTCGTTCATTTCTTTAGTCACTCGTATAAGCAATTGAATAGTTGAAATATTTCGGTAACTAAAATTTATTAAAATATTAGTCATTTTAGGGATAGATTATTATACAATAAGAATACAAGAAAAAAATTATAGGTGATTTTGAAGCAAGCGAAACTTGAAAGTGATTATTAGCCAACTAAAGGGTTAGTTTTTCCTTCAAATTCAATCCAGCGGCTAC